ATATATATATATATGATGACCATGATGATGCCTACGATGATATGATGATGGCAGAGCGGGCTCACGTCGGCAGGACTCTCCCTCTCTCTCCCGGTTGTGTCAGGACCGGAGCGGCCGGTCGGTAATGGGATCCAGCCTGCGGTGAGGAAATCATCCGGGGTGCTGTAGGCGCACGGAATGGTTTAACCTCTGCTTCAACTCCACATGTAGGACTGGTGATTAGACTGCGACTGTGGAAAATATGACGGTCCAAAATAGTCGTGACTCCTGATGATGAAGGACCGAGCCTAGTCCAGATCACAACACGCGGTTCAACGTGGGCTTCAGCGCTATTCTCTCAATCTGATCGAAGCACTATAGAACCCGTACCCCGATAAAGATCCAATACACATATGATAGACACTGTGACAGTGTAGCCGGTGGGGATAATTATTGTGAATTAAAATACTTGACATTCACTTTTGGACCGCAGCACAATATCTGATGAGATTACACCAGGAATGATAATTATTGTTTTCTATTCTTACAGGTTCTCAGGTGTGTGAATTTGACACTTTTCTTGATCTATAAAACATTTTGGGATTTTGGACTTTGGATTGGAAGAAATACATTTCATGACGTCATATTTTAGGATATTCTGATGGGCTTTTTCAGATTTTTGTATAGACCGATATTAATAGACGAGGGGGGGGGCAGTCACAGCTTTAAACAACATCAGGGTGAAAAAGTGTGGTTTGTTTAGATCTGTCTAACTGTAACAGAAATTACATTTTAGAAATACCAAGGTCATAAATTCAGATGGTCCTCCTTAGATTCAACCCACAGTTAAATCTTTGACCACTGAATGAAAACTTTCTGGGAATAAGAAAAACACAAAAAAACATGACTTTTCACAATTCATTATATTCGTTATGTTGTTTGTAAATGTTATCTCCAAAGCTCCTGGTTAACATGCAGTTTGAAATCCTTCTCCATACTGCCACAGAAGGCTGTGAGGATCCCTTCATTATAATGCTGGCTTTAAACGGTCAAACTTTAAACATATTTGGTCGCGCATAACACAGAAGTTCCCCTAAAAATCCAACATTTGTACCATATGTTTGTGATCACAGAATATCAACTCCTCCTCAGCTCAATAAACCTCCCAAACTTCATGAGTTGTAACAGCGGACCTCCTGTCCTAAATGCTGCTATCTGCTGCTATCGGACTTGGATGGATCTTTGGAATCTTCTGTTCCTTGTTGCAGCTCTCCTCGGCTATCATTGCTGTGCTGTTTAAGCCCAGTGAAGACAGTGACTCAGCCTTCCTCTGTAGTTTAATACTGGTTATTGTGAGCGGCAACACAGGATCCTGGATTAGAGCCCACATTTTAAAGCAGATCGGATGTCAATGTGGTTCTTTCTTAGAGTTGAATCCCTGTAACACTGTCATGGCTTACTGGGACACTTGAATAGAGCAAAGTCATTGTTAATGTTGTTGGTAATACCTGTGCTTTCCCTATTATGACAAGACAAAATGTCTGCTGTGAAAACATATGAAGTAATGTGAACTTTCTGTAATGTGGTCATATGATGCAATCAGTGGCGGGCGGTGCATTTTATACCTGGGCCTTCACTGCTGTCCTGCAGCTGAAATACCACCTTATAACCACATGATGGCGCCACAGCTATTATTCGTTTTTAAGGCTGTAACTATGTACATCTTCGTATTAAACCGTTCGGTACAAGACTTACAATACGTTTGACTAATGCTCGAGCATTTGGATAATGTAGAAGCTTAAATTCAGGAAAACATAATGTTTTCTGCTCTCACGTAGGACAGTGGTTCTCAGCTGGTCTGGCTGTGGGACCCACCATCATTCCTTAATGACAAGCCGCAACCCACAGAGATCGTCTTATGATTTTACTTTCACAACTTGAACATTGTACGTACTGCTCTGCAGCGTCTTTCCTCGTCTCAGCCCCCTGTGTCATGGTGTGTGGTACATCTCACTCGGGTCAGAATGCCCATATTTGATTGGCTGAGCTGCATCACGTGATGTGATTCACTACCCGACATGCCTCTGCTGTTAAGATTCATTGCACGATAGTCACGTGCTCGCCCACTGACCAATCACAGCACACTGACTCAAGAGACATCACCTGAGGACATGTTTCAAACTTCCCACAGCTCCCTCTGGAGACACCAAAGGCTTTATAGTACTTTTCTGTAAACACGCTTTGATGTTGAACATTTGTGAAGTTTTCCTTTAACCATACCGATGCAGCCATGCGTGGTTATTGTCGAAATAAATACATCAAATGTTGAACATAATCCAAGTTATTACAGAATGGATGAACATGATCTGCTCCAGTGTTAACATGGTCGTGATCGATATTTTGATACTAATAATGTATAAAATGACAACGTGAAAAGAATGGGACAGTGGTGGCTCAACCTACAGCACCTATCATCTCGTTTAGCTGTCCAGCACACACATTCACTGTTTGGATTCCCTCTCACCGCTCTCATGACGTCATTCACAGATGTTCAGCTAAACCAATGTACACTATCTGCTCAGCAGCAAACAGCAGACAGACACAGCTGGTGAGCAGAGAGGAGCATTTAGAAGCTAAAGGGACAGATATTCTTATCTGGAGTTGGTGGATACCAAAACTAGAGCTAAAAAAGAGATAGGTGATGATCTGCTCTGCATCAAGGCTTCTATCTGCACCTTCCCTGCTGGCCTGCACACGTTAACATGTTGCTATAATTTCTACCAAGGATTTAGTCCAGTTTGATCCGTCCGTCTGCTGCTGAAGCGAGGGCAGCAAAGCTACTGTGTGTTGTCATCTGTTAGCATAATCCTTTCCATCTCGTCCCATACTGAATGTTGGTCAGGACCCTTGGCCTCACTTTCTAAAGCATTGGGTGTCCCAGCGCCTCAAACTACGGTCCCAGTGAACACCTGCATAACCCTGTGAACTCAAACAAATACACGAAGGAAAAGATCATGGATTGGGTTAAAATAACTACATTTGTAAAGTGAAACTTAATGTTGCCAACACTACGACAGCGTCTCCTACAGACGCTAAAGGGTGACTTGTGCGTTGGTTCTGAGGGGCGGGACAAAGCGTTTCAGGCAGTGAGACCGGGCTGGAACAGGCTGTCAAAGAGCCAGTGCTCCTTTCTTCACCGTGGTATATAAATGAAACTGATTTGACTTGACTTTGTTAAGCTGCTCTGCTCTGCTGTGTGTGTCACATGCTTGGTGAAAACAGCTGATTCTGATAGAGGACACAGTTGTATTCAGTACAGTACCTACAGTATGATGTCACAGTGAAGTCATCGCTTCATCCTTTCATCCTAGTAGACATTTCTGTCAAATGTTTGTCATAATTAGCGAATGAATTCTTGAGTTATGGCCACAAACGCGTTTTGTGAGCTCAGTGACCTTCGACCTATAAACTTGGATCACCAAATTCAAATCAGTTCATCCTCGAGTCCAAGAGGATGTTTGAGCCAAATTTGAAGAGAGTCCCTCAAGGCACTCCTGAGAATGGACAGATGGATGGACGTGTAGACTCGTGGAGGAATAAAAACCACGGAACATCTGAGGTGTGCACCCACAAGAAGGATGGGGATCTGTTATTGAGAAACTGATGTGCACATTCAGCAGTAGACTAACTCACTGATACACACTTTCAAAATTCAACCATTTCTGTTCTCAGTCTGAAATTCCTCACAAAGCTGAATAACTACAGAGCTGTTTCAGGGTTAGGAAGACGCAGTCGGGTTTAGCGTCTCGTCACATTTCTCTACTACCTGTGTCCGATCACAGGTCTTCAGCTGAGGACACTTCTGAGTAACACGGTGCAACTTCTAGGGAGGAGGAGATTTATTCGACATCACAGATGTGCCAGTTTAGTGATGCTGAGTGAAGCCCTGTAGTGGGAAGGAGCACATTTCATACACCTGCACTGAAACCCACTGCGGCAGAAAAGGTCAGATGTGTCCTGTTAACATACTGAAGCCACACTCTCCCTTCTGCTAAACCAACATGCTGGAGGTTTGATCTTTGGATCAATGTCTCAATGAAGAGTTTCAAACTAACTTCTGATTTTAAATCAGTTCAACGCTCCAAACCCACCAGAACCCCTAACCCTACAGGCTGCTTGCAGCTTTCAACCCAAACCTCAACCCTAGCACCAAACCTACCACTACCACATGGTGCTATGCATTTACTGCGCACCGTCTCATCTATAGACAAGCCGTACTATTTTCACAGCCTGGTCTCACTCCCAGGGCAGCAAGTAGCGATGTTTGGTCATGTCTTCTAGTGTTAAAGCGATGGACATGGTATATACAGCGAGACGTCCTCTGAGGGTGGGTGGGACAAACCAACAGCACTTTCACTCAGCAGACCGTTCGTGTCCCATTTGAAACCAAAAACAATGAGTGATTCTCACTGGTGTTACCATGTGTCCCATGATGTTACATCCGTGGCTTATGTTACATTACAAGCGTACTCATCTCAAGTCAAAACATGTTTTTCTCACCCTAACTAAGTGGTTTTGTTGCATAACCCTAACCGCCACCATTTAATGTTAACCGTTTCACAACGTTAACCAAAGTGAACCTTCAGTGTCAAGACACTGAGCAAACAGCTGCCCAAGTGTCAAAATATGACGAGCAGGTATGAGATCACGTTGGTTTTCCCATCAGTGGTTGTTATCAAGTGGTGTAGTTAATTTCAGGGTATTCTCTTTTTTGTCCAGGGTGTTTTAAAACCCCAGTGGAAGCACAGATCTGAATGCACAGTGGAAACTCTGAATGACTATGATGTTATTGTTATTTATATATATATATATCTATATATATATCTATATATATCTATATATATATATATATATATATATATATATATATATATATATATATATATATAAAAACATAGCACAAAAAGTAAGGACATTAGTGTTTGGTAGATTATTTCTCTGTTGTAACGATGCTTCTTGGCAATAAATCTTATACTGTTGGAAAGCCTGATTATTTCCCTTTAAGTCACATTTGTGGGATGAGCAGCACAGCTGAGTATGTGGGTTGCACCCATGAAAAATTTGTCAAATCTTCTCTGCCAATGCCAAACAGCTTATTCTGCCATTGACTCGTTTGGTGTTGTTTGGTGGATTAGATGATTGAAGTCTGAAGAAACAAGACATATTGGCAATTCAACAATGTATTCATTTAACAAACAGGAGCCTTAGTAGTGTGTGGAAGAACCATACACAGCCACATCAGCCTGGCTCCTCCTGCTCACACACTGCTGTGGGATGGCATCCCATTCTTCAAAAAGCATTTGTCGCAAGTCAGCCAACGTGGTTGTGTTGGTCACTCTGGCACGAACAGCACGCCCAAGCTGATCCCACAAGTGTTCAATGGGTTGAGTTCAGGACTGCTGGAAGGCCATTCCATCCTCTCCACTCCCAAATTCTGGAGGTAGTCTCTGATAAACAGCTCTGTTGGCATTGGCAGAGAAGATTTGGCAAATTTTTTATGGGCGCAACCCACATACTCAGCTCTGCTGCTCATCACATAAATGTGTCACCATTTAAAAGGGAAATAAACAGGTATACGATTCATTGCCAAGAAGCATTGTTACAACTAAGAAATAATCTACCAAACACTAATTTCCTTACTTTTTGTGATATGTTTAGATATATACTTGTGTATTCTTTGCCAGATACATATTTCTTTTTTGTGGGATGCTTAGGCCTTCTTCTCCTCCTCAGCCAATGAAAGGGCAACACGTGACTTGTATACACAGCTCTACAGAAGCCTGTTTCATATTGGATGTTGACAGGAATTGATTTTTGTAGTAAATCTTGGGGAGCCTAGTTTGTCCGGACAAACTTCAGTGGCATACAAAATGAAGTGAACGTTCCACTGGCATAAGCTCTGTCCTGGTTCAGGGCGGCCCCCTTCAATAGATGTAGTCTCTGGGGGGTGGAAGCAAGTAGACTGAAGCTGAACCTTCTCCACAAATTAGAAAGACACTTTGCAACTGTGAGCTGTCGGATCATCTGAGAGTGTACGAAACCTTCAGTGGTAGAATCTCTGGGTAACGGGTTTCATATAACTGGACAGTCGGCTAACGACTGGCTGGGTGTGAACGTTCTCATGGTTCTTGTATTCCTCACAGAACTACGGTCAGTTTTTGTGCGTACAACCAAGTGGAACAACATCAAAGTCTACGAGCAGAGACGGTCTGAAAGTGTGAGGGTTTATTTCCATTAGTACACTTCATGGTGTTGAGACTTCAAAGACACACAGAAGATGTCACCATGTAGAAACCATTCAGCCTTTAGACGTGATCGGATGCCACGTCACTTCATCTGAAGCACACGGAAGCCTTCACTCACTGAGACATGACTTTTAGAGGATTCTCAGGTCCTGGAGACTGGTTGTGTTGTGGCAAAAGAAAGCTTTATTTCACGACCATGTGAAGAGAGAGAGGGACAGCCTTTGAAGGAGACACCTTATCTATGGGACATAAGTATTGTCCATCCGTGATGGTGAAAAATACCTGCTGTGTGGCCGAAAGTCTGTGTTAAATTAGGTTAAATTAAATCAATAACATGAAAACATAAAACTTTTTTCCTTTAAAGAATCACAAGATATTCTTCTAGAGCATCCATTTCCCACTGATGTTACATGATCAGAGAAAGCCATCGTAGGAGAGACATGAATCATTTGTTTTGACAACAGTAGCTTTAATTGATCAGAATGCAATACAGAAAGTAAGAGTCACTGTCAATGTTAACCATGACTAACTGAAGCACACGTAGATGAGAGTGCTCCACCGATCAGTGACACAGGATGAGGAGGTTTAGTGTCGGGACCGGTCAGTCACTGAGTCGGACACCTCTGTGTTGACCTGAGCCGTGATGCTGGCCGGTGTTACATTCAGGTGGATGTCATACTGCTGGTCCAGACCCAGATAGCTGTCACTCATCAGGTACAGTGTGTAGATACACCTGGAAGCACAAGGCACATGGATCGGTAGTTTGAACATAAGCGTGGATACACAGGCTGGCAACCTGCACTTTCTGTTTGGGTCCATGTGAGACGTTCCTTCTCTCTGTTCGGTTTGAAGATGAGTCTCTGTGTGATACTCTGTATTCTATATGAATCCCACTGGACTCAATCCTGCTGGTCCAAATACTCACTAAAGCACTAACGAGGGATGTTTGTTAAAGCTACAGGGGCCAGCTGTTTTAGGAAATGACAGAATTTGAAAGTATACATTTGTGAACCCTTTATAAAGATGTAGATCTTTAGTAGGAACCACTGGGCTGAGAGCCACAGACAGGTTAGAGAAAGTACTGAGAGATGGACTAACACAGTGTCTCAGTCTTTTCATGGGATTTGGTCACTTCACACGGACTAGTTTCTATTTTAATGGAAGCAACCTTCTATATCACACATGTCAAGGCCCGCGGGCTGAATCCGGCCCGCCACGTCATTTTATGTGGCCCGCGAATCCACCAGCAAAAAAAAAAAAAAAGTTTTTCTTTTTTTTTAAATTTTGGAAAACAAATTAAAAGTTAGACTTGAAAATAAAAATATCCCCATGGTCGAAATTATGAGATAGAAAGTTGAAATTATGAGATAGCATGTTGTGAAGTATTATCACCGTGGCTGGACATTGATTACTTGTCCTCCTAACAGTCACTTGGTAACAATATGGTTAATTAGTTATTACCTTTTTTTAAAAAACAGGTGAACAGCCCGTAAAGCAGTTTTCCAACAAGTGATTGAGTTGAAAAAGATCGACAAATAATCCCAAAATGTCCACGAAGAGAAAAATTGATGCAGAGGGAAGAAAATGTAATTTAAGATGGGAAAGAGAATACATGTGTGTGCTTCAAGGAGAAAAACAGGTCTGTCTTCTGTGTTATGATGCGTGTCGGTGATGAAGGATACAATTCACGTCGGCATTTTGACACCAAACACGGAGCTAAATTTAGCCTCCAAGAAAAACATAAAATTGTCCAAGAATTAAAAGGCAGACTGCAATCACAGCAGAATATATTTACAGAAGCTACAGCCCAGTGCATGCTAAAGGTCTGTGAGCAGGTGAGCTCCGATCAGATACAGACTTTTACAAATGTCAGTTTGTGATGAAACACCATCGCAGACCGAGTTCAGGAACTAGCAGCAATCTAACAACACAGCTAGCTAAGAGACGAGATACATCATCTATCAGTGTTTGTAAGAGGCTCAAGGCAGACCTGACTCTGTGAGGAGCTCTTGGATGTAGCTGCCATGCACGGGACGACGGCAGGGACATTAGTGATGCAGAGAGGTGACACAAATAGCTTTGAACAAAGTTAATGTAATAACTTGTGTTTGATATTTGTCTTTGTCATTTTCTTTAATAGTTTGATCTTTGATAGAGTAATATGGGTTTCTTAACCCTAAATTAAAATTATTTATGTTATAATAACAAATGTGCTTAAATATCATTTTACATTTATATAACTACATATACAATATTTTTACACTTGAATAAACAATATTCAAAAGCAGAGACAGTTATTTAACAATATGTTAGGAGTAGTTACAGTTATACAGTCTTACAGTTACAACCAGCCCTTTGAGGGAAACCATGATGCTGATGTGGCCCGGAGTGAAAATGAGTTTGACACCCCTGTTCTATATGTATAACGTCATCCCCTGAGAAGTGAAACATCTCATCAAACTTCATGAGTTCTCTGACCAGTAAGGACCAGGTTACAACTCACATAAATGTGAAAGTATTTGACTCTAAAACTATTTCTGCTACTAATCCAGAATGTTTGTCCTTATAATGATTCAGTTAACCTTTCTGAAGGGAAACTGGAAAACTGAGGTCTTTGCTTTCAATCGCTGTATAATGTTTATGTACCTGCAGGTGGGTAAAGATTTTAACAAATAGATATCACCATGAAACGTCCCCAATGGATAACTTACATCGAGACAATCATTTTTTGTATTACATGTATCTTATTAAATATGTTCTAATTTGCATGCCTTTCCAGAACAGAGATCTGAACATTGGATAAAGCCAGGTTTTTATTTTGTTGACAAATTAAGAGTCAAAGGTTTTTACAGAGGGAATCTACGCTTTCTGTGTTTCATTAGTAATATAATGCTGTATATAAATCAGGCTAGATCAGTGGTTCTCAAACTGTGGGGCGGGCCCCTCTAGTGGGGCGCGTCGGTATTGCAGGTGGAGCGCAGGGGGAAATGCAGAATTTTTTTATTTCAAGAACTTTATTCAGACCTGCAAACTTGTCGCTTTTCGGCGAAATTCGCCATTTTGAATCAAAATATATCATCCACGTGAATCGTGTAGATCCACAGAGGTTTTCTTTTGGGGGGGGGGGACCAAATGGCCAGCTAGTGTTTCTCAGATTGGAGTGAGATGAGGAGAAAAGGTGATGTCCTGATCTTCACAATAAAACATCTCTGATATGACGTGTCGAGTCTTGGCCAATCAGCGTTCAGATGTCTACACCGTCTTTCCCTCCGTTACAGTTTAAGTTACGTTATGTCCCGTTACCGTTCAGACTTGCTGGGTTAAGTTAACGTCCACTGCATGCGGAAATTTGTCGACTGTTAACGTTCGTCATGATCACGATTTAGGAGGAAAAAACGTAACGTGATGAAACATGAAGCCGTGTTCCGGTTCAGTTCACGCGGTCACTCATTAACGTTAAACCGGAACACCGGCGCATCTGGTTGCAGGTTGTTTGTTTTAACTCAAAGTAGAATGAAAGGCCCAGATACTGATGAGATGATGAGGTCAAAGAGCTTCAGGGAGAGGAGGCTGGTTGTAGCGCAGCTTGACGCAGGGCTGAGATGTGAGTGTAGCTGGGCCTGGATAAAGGTGGAGCTGGGCCTGGATAAAGGTGGAGCTGGGCCTGGATAAAGGTGGAGGTCTAAACAGACGTGAGTACAGCTTGCTGCTGTCACAGTGTTTTAAATACATTGATAAGGCAGGGTATGCTAAATGCAGCCTCTGCTCCAAGGAGATGAACTACAGCAACAAGGGCTCACATGTCCTCTCACCACACTGTTCACTGTGATGACCACAGCCAGTGGACCAACAGTCCCAACAGTCCCACGTGCTGTTAAATCACAGCTATTATTTTACTTTTAGAATGCTACATTTTAAAGCTCATATTTAAAATAAAATGCTCCTGGTATGTGTGAGCATATGGCTCACACATATCTGCACTCATTTTGTTTAGTTTTTCACAGGTTGCACTTTATTGATATTATCTTGAAAAGATATTCAGTGCAAAACAGGTGAATTGCAGCCACAATAAGCTATTTTTTTGCCAAATATTAGTTATTTTTTGCACAGATTGAACTTTATTTGCATTGTTCTAACAAAGTGATGCACATTTCATTTGTTTTTGTCTGATGGAGCGATCTGGTTTTCTTGAAAGTGATTGCAATTTTCTTTATTCTATTATTTGAAAAAGCACAGATGGAGGAGTCACAAAATGTTGTTATTTCAATAAAAGTTCAACATGGACCATTTTGTTACAATTGTGTTGGGGTGGTGGGGCATGAACATTTTTCTTCCTCCAAAGTGGGGCGTGACAGAAAAGGTTTGAGAGGCTAGATGAACAAACCCCTCTGTAAAAAGCTTCAGAATATAGAGAGGAATGAAACTGTAAGGTTTGGTGTATGTAAGTATAGAAAAAAGATATCCGGAGGAAATAGTCTTTAAAAAGAAGTCAAATGTGTGGAATTCCAGACATTTTGAGGAAACTACAGGTGAAGAAGGTAAAAAAATGTACTCATAGATATCACCATTAAACTTCACCAGTTGATTACTTACATTATGACAATTATTCCTTTTATTACAAGTTTTGTAAAATATTATGTTAAAATGCAAATGAGGCAAAGAAGTAAAATAAACACTGAAATGTGTCTTTTGGATGTTTTCTTTCCATTAGTGTGGAAGAAGACATATTAAGGAACAAATCTCAAAATTGCATAACCAACGTTGTCTTTGTGTGTCGTGTGTCCCCTTAAATCCTCCTTCTAGTACAGCTGCTTACTTTCCAGTCCTCTCTGGTGTGAAGAAGGCCACCGACACGGCCGTGTGGTGGCGCACGTATCCCACCCGTTTGATAGCCAGCAGCTCCCTGCGATCCACCTCTCCCATGACCAGGAACCAGCCTTCATCCTTCGCCTTGGGGAACCTGGAAGCCTGGGCCTTACTGTCCTGCTTCCTCTGGAATAACAGACGCACTTTACAGACACACTGCACAGACGCACTGCACAGACACATTGTACAGACAAAGACACACTGCACAGACACACTGTACAGCCACACTGCACAGACACAGCCACACTGTACAGACGCACTGCACAGACGCACACACACTGTACAGACGCACTGTACAGACACAGACACACTGTACAGATGCACTGTACAGACACACTGTACAGACACAGACACTGTACAGACGCACTGTACAGACACACTGTACAGACAGACACATTGTACAGACACAGACACACTGCACAGACACACTGTACAGACACAGCCACACTGTACAGCCACACTGTACAGACACAGCCACACTGCACAGACGCACTGTACAGACACACTGTACAGACACAGCCACACTGTACAGACACTGACACAGACACACTGCACAGACACACTGTACAGACACAGACACACTGTACAGACACATACACACTGCACAGACCCACTGTACAGAGACACTGCACAGACACACTGTACAGACACACTGCACAGACGCACTGCACAGACACAGACACACTGCACAGACACTGTACAGACACAGACACACTGCACAGACGCACTGTACAGACACACTGCACAGACACACTGTACAGACACTGTACAGACACACTGCACAGACCCACTGTACAGACACAGACACACTGCACAGATGCACTGCACAGACACACTGTACAGACACACTGTACAGACACAGACACACTGCACAGACCCACTGTACAGACACAGACACACTGCACAGATGCACTGCACAGACACACTGTACAGACACAGACACACTGTACAGACACACTGTACAGACACAGACACACTGCACAGACCCACTGTACAGACACAGACACACTGTACAGACACACTGCACAGACCCACTGTACAGACAGACACAATGTACAGACACACTGTACAGACACAGACACACTGTACAGACAGACACACTGTACAGACACACTGCACAGACGCACTGTACAGACACAGACACACTGTACAGACACAGACACACTGCACAGACCCACTGTACAGACACAGACACAATGTACAGACACAGACACACTGTACAGACACAGACACACTGCACAGACCCACTGTACAGACAGACACACTGTACAGACACACTGCACAGACACTGTACAGACAGACACACTGCACAGACACACTGGACAGACACACTGGACAGACACACTGCACATACATACTGTACAGACGCACTGTACAGACGCACTGGGCCACAGACGCAGACAAGATAACCATAACAAGATCAACTGAATTAACACAGTTAAAACTGTATAAAGCTCTGCTACACATAATAATACATCTGATTTATTACAAAAAGTGAGTTTGTGCTGTTTTGTGATACATCACTGTATCATAGTTGTTTAAACCAACAGGCCACAGAATGAGTACATTCTCTTCCTTTGAATCAGTCTGCATATGAGACCAGTTTAAATGTCTTTCATATACAGCTGATCCGAGAACAGTCTGCATCCCAGCACCAACCTGCAGCTACACTTTGTCAGGCCTGGAGAGATTTTCATAAAGCAGCACCTGAGCTTTATGAAGCACAATACTAAATCACTTTAAGTATCCTCAGCATCTGACGATCAGTATATCTCTGTCAGACAGAGCTGCATCTGCAGCCAACATGCAAAGCAACCCGGACAAAGAATGCTGTACTACGAAGAGTCAAAAGATAAAAGAACTGATCATAGTGATTCCCATCATTCATTTGGTGCCAAATCTCGATGTCATAGATGAGCATATTTAAAACAAGAATGTCCTCTTTCTATATATCTAGTTATTATAGAAAACATAAGAAGGAATAATAGAATAGAAGGTCTGAGAATAAAGTAGCTTAGATTTAAATCTTTCAATGTATACAGATTATATATATTTTAAAATTCAACTAAATGCTTCTCTCACTGAATGAGTTCCAGAATGAAAGTGTAACTTTGGTATTTCCCCATGGCTTTGTGTTTAAGTGGGTACAGCCACATTTTAGAGGTCCTAGCAGCTGCTAAACAGGCTGTAATGTAATCACTCAACTTCAATGTATGTCCACTAAAAGTGCCCCACAAGAACCCCACAGAGAAATAACACGCTCTTCTTTACCTCTCGCTTCCTGTGTGTTATCGTCATGTGAGACAGCGCTGGAGAGGTGTGTGAGAGTTGGAAATGGTTGCTGTTGTTGCGTGTAGCTTAATGTTATCTATTAGTTTTGTGTTCCTCTATGTTAACCTCTGCTCTAGTTCCTGTCTCGGCTCCTCACTGTCACTGGGCATACTGACCCTCTGCTGGCCCAGGTTGATGCGTCTCAGAGACACCTGCAGGACGTACTCCTGGTCCGCGTGGACATCCAGCCAGCTGCTGCCCTCCTTCGGGTTAGCTCCTGCTGCTGGCAGCGGACGCTCCATCTGCTCCTGGCTCTGCTCCCACCAGCCCTTCACGCTCATGTAGACCTCCAGCACTGGGAGGTGACTCAGGAAGGACCAGGCCTGATGAGAGGGAGTGAAGACTGCCATTTATATCATATATCATATCTATTGTACTGTTCAACTTACCAGCCGATGTGTTACCATGGTTACCTAATCATCTTCCATAAATACATAGAGCTGAGGTGTTCCCAGTGATCGTCATGTATTTAACAGTAGTCCAGCTTATGTTAAAGTCACACTGTATCCTACGCATCAAAGTCTCAGTCATATGGACCAATGAACTGTTATGCATTGTATAGAGTGGTTTCTATCTTTGATTTTGTATTCATCTATTGCTTGTATGTGTAAACATACTTGGCTAAAAGCTGACCCTGCTTTCTCTTTTCTACTATCCTGTCTCTCCTGTGAGGCATTTACTTGGTGTGTTATTGTAAATACCTGTTGTTGTCAATATTGTTTGGTTTTGTGTACTTATTGTTGCGATGTCTGTTATGGAAGTCTTGTATATATATCTGCATAATAATAACAAATGGGTGTGATAGTGCTCAGAAATGAATATGGTGCCCTGAGGTGAATACACTGTCATATTATTATGCAACACTAATTCACATTATGTTCTTCTATCTGGACTTCTGGCAAGAAAATAACATTCATTATTATCATTAATGTAACAGTGCCACTCTGCACATGAATAGCTCACAGCTGTAGATGATCGCTCTGTTCTTCAAATGTTTTGAAGGACATGACATGAAAGTGGTGTTCAGAAAGACAAAATCCTGATTCACTCCAACACGCTGCTCCCTGGTCTTATGTGCATCTTAAGTGCTTTTATGGAGAGTTTAACATTTGGCTCAAAAGCCCCCCCATCAGACATTAAAAAGATAAAGGCACAGAGAAAGTGGCAGGAAAACGCGTGCGTGCGTGCGTGTTTCACCCGGCAAAAGCTATTTATGTGAGGATTACTCTCCCTGGGCAAGTCAGACAGGAACGCTGCTGCACATCTAATTATTTAATTAGAGAGGCCGCCACACTGTGGGGGGGGGGGGGGGGGGGGGG